TCATACAAATTACTTCTGAACCTTGCCTTCTTACCGACAGTAAAAGTTTTCTTGTTGTAGTAAGAGCAAATGCAATCAGTTTTCTGGCCATTTCTAATTTCCAGAGAATCAATAAACTTAATGAACTCACCTTCTTTTACTGCCTCCTTAGGAACTCTCCACTTAGGTTGAGCCCTGACGACAACCCCATCACGCAAAACCAAAGCATTCCTTTGTGGGTCAGAGAATTTCGACGTTTCCTGATCCGACAAGTACTGGGGTTGACGAGGGTCCACTACTTCGGTGGCACTTCGACGAGCACTTCCAAAAATTTTCGACCGATCCTTAATTGCTTGTTAAAAAACAAATCACCTCTTGTTATAGTAACAGCATTATTAGAAATAAAAGGCGCATGTACCAGTGAAATTGGAAATCCATTGCTTTTAAGATAATAGAAATTTTTCGAGGTAAGATATGATGTGCCATTTTGTTCAGATATACATTCCAGATTGATCGGGATCGTGGAAGACATGTAGATGCGATGAAGTTCCCATTTGCTGCCGTTTCTTATGATGAGGCTGCTTTCGCCACTCTAAAGGATTTTTTGGAAGTCAAAGATTGTGCACTGCTAGCAAAACTGAAGTTAGAGCTCTTCAAAACGAAAGGGGGAATTTTGACAGAGGCTAACTTTTGAAGGTCGAAGGGATAATTGGCAAAGTACTAATACAATCACCTTCTGTTTAATAATGAACCTATCACTTCCTACAGAAAGTACATCGTCGATTTCTTCATCCAAATCGATCAGAGTTACATTGTTATCCGGGTTAAAAAGGAAGATTCGTGTCCCATAGCGATTAAATAAGAGAGGCGAGGCACCGCGTATGAGGCGATACTCACCATTGTCAAACACTGAAAGGGCTATGATGAAGGAAACCAGGTGAGAAGGAAATTATGAAAGTTCGCAACCAAGCAATTTGTTATATCACTAAAATTGGTTAAGAATAAAACCCACTTTTGGCAACACTATCCAAGGCGGAATATTCCAATTTTATGATCTGAAGCACTTTTCTCTCCAAATCTACTAAACCAATTGAGTTTGTCTAAAAAAGCATTTGTTATGCCTAGCTTTGTAAACCACTCAAAAGCTTGACTATATGAAGAACTT